GGAGGCATTAAGACAAAGGAGGAACCCTTAAAGAAAAGAAAGAGAAACAAAGGCCCCCCCCCCCCCCCCAGCCCCGCGCTCGCTTGCCGAGGATCATGTTACGTGTGCGTGTCACGCGACTCACGTCACTTTTGACGGCCGCATTCTCGTCGACTTTGGGAGACTAGACCTTAACCACGGACGCAACTACCCCTGCCCCCTGGTGTTCCGAACACGCAGGTGTTGGGCATCACGTTCATGCTCTTCGTGACAGTGTCGGTGCTGCAGCTGAGGGAGGTGGTGCACCCGGAGGTGCTCTCGCTCATCATCAGGCCGCAGGAGCCGCACCCTGACCTGCTGGGCTCGCTGCTGCAGGAGTCCGGCCGTACGCACGCGCGCCGGATGGCCATGAGTCTCGTGAGTGTGCACTACGCTACGCCATGCCACACGATGCGTGCATCTGCGTGTGACTTGTGTGTTTGTGTGTGTGTGTGTGTGTGTGTGCCTTTATTATTATTATTAGCATCGACCGCGCTAACCGGCTACCCAATGAAAAGACGTCAGTCTCAGTGTGGTTGAAATCACAGAACACTTCTAAATGCCATCAACTGGCAAAAGTGTGTGTGTGTGTGTTTTGTCGTTAGAGTTACCGCGCTAATCGGTTGGCCAGTGAAAAATACGTCAAGTGCTTGTTAGCAGGTAACGTGTGCCGCTTGTGACCCACCCGTGTCGCTCTGCCGGTTGTCTGTTTCGCCCAACGCCCTTTTTGACTCGTTTCGGCAGGCGATTTACCTGGCCCTGGTGCTGATGTTCGTGTGGGTGCCGACTAGGCTCGTTGGCACGCTCTTCCCGGCCGTGATGCCCGTGCAGGTAGGGGGGGTGGTGGAAGGTTGTGTGCGCATTATGTATACGGTAGTGCAGCCTCGGTCTGAGAACGAGGACGACGGGGCTTAGCACGGGCGTTGCTAAACATGCGAGGGCGTGCACACAGTCTCCGCTTCGACGCTGTACTTGTGTGACGGTTTTTTGAGGTTGCTGTTGCTGGTTGCAGTTGTGCGTATGGTAGCTGTTCGTCGTCAGAAGTCCAGCCGGTAACGCTGACGTGCCCGAGTGGACGCATACCTAAAATGCGATGTAAAACTGAGGTGCCGGCGAGGACGGCCACGGCGAGCGTAGCAGAAACGGTGGCGTTTTTGTGTTATGTAACTACAAACAACGTAGTAACGATGGACAGGGATGTCATCGGTCAACATGGTGGCGTCGCCACGCTTGGCTTGTTAAAAGGTAGAAGTGAATTGCTACGTAGTTTCTCCGGGAGTCGGCAAACCCTAGCATGTACGAGTTGGCCAGACCGTCGGACCCCTATCCTCCTGGTGGTGACCTCTCTTCTCCTTTCTTGTCCTTGCCGTTTATCGATGTATCTTGCTTTGGCCCCCCTTCCCCCGTCGTGCTGATCGACCTCGCCTCACCTCGGTACTCTCTTGGGCGCACACCAACGATGACGACAACGACGATGACGATGACATGGGTGACGGATAACGTCGATCACGGCGCCGACCCAGTTGGAACTCCGGTACGGCATGCCGCAGCTGCAGATCCCGGTGGAGCTGGTCATCCTGCACCTGGCGATGCTGGCGTTCCTCGAGAAGTACCAGGTGAAGTCAACCGTCCGAGCAAACGTCCCGAAGCGCGGTACTTCACGGTTGTACGGATGTACCGTGTTGGTGGTTGATTTTTTTTTAGAAGGTGGCGTGGGAGTGGGTTGGGCATTGACCAGAAGTGACGAGAGCGGTGGAAGTGGTGGCTGAAGGGAAGGTTGCGGTGTTGGGTGGCTCTATTGTCATGGACGATGAGTTGCTACATCCCGGCAGCGTTGCAGTTGTTTTTCGTCGCAAACTTGCGGTTTATTCTCACATATATTCCGCGCGTTGGTACAATTCCATCGCCCTTGTTACAAGTCTTCCTCTTGCCTACAGACACGGGAGGGGATTCAGTGCGTGTTTTTTTTAGAAGCAATCTGCACTACACGTGTTCTTTCTCCTTTCCTTTCGTCTCCTTATCCCCTCCTCTCCGGTGAACTGTCCTCT